GATTTTTTTGTTGCTGTCTAAATCCTTTGTTGGGAGTCCATGACCACGTCAGTGGTGGCGTCTGCACACCTTTTGAGTAATCAGTATCAATAAATATATATATATATATATATATATATATATATATATATATATATATATATATATATATATATATATATATATATATATATATATAATATTGACCTTGTGTAGCACTCAATACACCATAATGGTCTGAGACGGACCGAAACGTCTTCACTTCCTATATTTTCAGATTTATGGGTTGTCTAAACCTTTAATGCTGATTATTCATTTGTAAAAATGATATATAATGATTAATGAATTACTGTAAACGACTGAGTGAAGAAAATCCGCTGTGGCTTGAGTTTCGTGTACTATATCATGTACCATCACAGCCATGGTACAGTAGCGTATCGGTATGTGTTGTGGGTGTCCTTGCCACATTGTACCACACGTGTGTGTGAGTGTACCCCCTCTGTGCTGTGTTGCTCCTCACCTGTGTAAACACTGTACCTTTCACTGTTGTCTCTCTCCTCGCCCACCTGACCTAGGCTGTGCTCTCTTGACTCCTCTGCACCACGCTAACACGCTCCCACAAGCCCTCTCCCCCGCCCCTGGGAATGACTGTAGGTTCGCCCCTGGGAATGACTGTAGGTTCGCCCCTGGGAATGACTGCAGGTTCACACCACAGCCCTGTAATAATAACTTCAGGCTGCCCCCACTCCCTCTCCCATAGATTCACAGCCCCTCCAAGACTCAGAATGTAAACAATGGGCCAGGAATCCAAGCCTACCACAACCTCCTAACGAACGACTATTGACCACCAACCAAGTCACCAAGCCATCACCTCTATGCACAACCGCATCCTAGAAGCAACTAGGCGGCCATGTATGAGATCGTCTTTCATCCAGTATGAACCCCAACAGAGAAATCTGGGGTAAAATGAATGAGTACCGACAAGCCAGCCTTCGTCACTAGCAGTCATGGTATCCCTCCCTTACCTTTTCACTTCACAAACCCCCTAAGAAAAGAAACTATTGAGCTCACAATGTTTCACAGAAGATACGTTTGGGGGAACGTGGCTAAGCAAGTGAACCAATACCAAAGAGCCCCACGAGGCGCCTTCTGGAGGAAAGTGAAACAACTACTTGGTTCATCAAGAGCGTATTATGCCTCACTGACCTTATCCACACACTTATGGGTGAAGATGATGATGATGAACAGTGTAACAAGATCAAGGACCCGCTAGAACAAACAGACCTTACGGGCTCAAGTCTCTCTCTCTCTCTCAGCCTTGAACAGCAGAACATTCAACAATGTTCACTTGAACCTTGTTAACCAATGGAGTAACGAGAACTTGGGGCACCCCTGACCAGCACCCCTTGTCATTGACCCAACAACCCTAAATACAGACCACTGCCCTAACTATAGGCGCATAACAATGCTATATAGACGGCTGGGGTCATAAAAACTACCCGCAACGAAGCCCTTTCTCCCCCCCCCCAGTCCCTGCAGTCTCCCTAACTGGCTCTCACTTCTGGGTAGTCATGGCTCCCATGCCAGAGGTGGGGGGGGGGAGTGCACTGTTCCCCATGCCATGGTCAGGAGGGAGATGGCACCCATGCCTGGGGAGCGTGGCACCCATGCCTGGGGAGCGTGGCACCCATGCCTGGGGAGCGTGGCACCCATGCCTGCGGAGCGTGGCACCCATGCCTGGGGAGCGTGGCACCCATGCCTGCGGAGCGTGGCACCCATGCCTGGGGAGCGTGGCACCCATGCCTGGGGAGCGTGGCACCCATGCCTGGGGAGCGTGGCACCCATGCCTGCGGAGCGTGGCACCCATGCCTGGGGAGCGTGGCACCCATGCCTGCGGAGCGTGGCACCCATGCCTGGGGAGCGTGGCACCCATGCCTGGGGAGCGTGGCACCCATGCCTGGGGAGCTGGCACCCATGCCTGCGGAGCGTGGCACCCATGCCTGGGGAGCGTGGCACCCATGCCTGGAGGAGTGGAGGTAATAGGAAGGGTTGACGAACGGGAGATAATGAGAGTCAGACAGTCAAGATACTGATACATTACAAAGTCAATCTGTGGCAAAAGTCAAGTATAACTTCAAGGTTGCTGGTATTTAGGTAATGTTTACAGAGCTTGACGTATCCCCCGAGCGGGTCGGTCCTCGCTGTAGAACATTTTGTAATATATTAGGCATTCAAGAGTGTGTCATCGGCGTGTTTGTTAGTGTGAGATGAGTGGGCGGCTAGTTTGAGGTTGGGTAAGTTGCTAGCCTAGTGTGAGTGGGTGTACATGTAACCAGGTCAATATGTGGGCTTCAGGAGTTGGTGTCCGGTGCATAGGGACCCGTAGGAGTGTCCAGAATATAGTAACCTCAAGGTGACCTCACCACCAACAATAAAAAAACACCTTGTTTACACTACAAAGGTCTCTGTGTTGCAATGAATACGTTTAGTAGGACCGCTTATTAAATTGGGCGTTTACTGTACACAATCTGTAAGTGTGGCTACACTGGAGCATCGTCAATTATAGGTACATAAAAGTTTGTGTGGTTTCTAAATAAAAGGAAATGCTACTGCCTGTAGACGCCAACTAAGAGTTCCGCAATATCCACTGTATTATTCACAAGAGCGTGAGAATTGAAGAATTTGCACAAGGGAGCCGGTCGGCCGAGCGGACAGCACGCTGGACTTGTGATCCTGTGGTCCTGGGTTCGATCCCAGGCGCCGGCGAGAAACAATGGGCAGAGTTTCTTTCACCCTATGCCCCTGTTACCTAGCAGTAAAATAGGTACCTGGGTGTTAGTCAGCTGTCACGGGCTGCTTCCTAGGGGTGGAGGCCTGGCCGAGGACCGGGCCGCGGGGACACTAAAGCCCCGAAATCATCTCAAGATAACCTCAAGGCCCATTGGTCCATACGAGGCAGTCACCTTTTTTTTTAATATCATCACCAACTCGTCAACAAGTATGTCTAACCTACGCTTGAAACACTCCAGCGAGGCCACGCCTGTCATGTTATCCGGTAAGTTGTTCCATAAATCAACAATCCTGTTTCCAAACCAGTATTTATCCAGGTCTTTCCTCAATCTAAACTTCACCAAGTTATACCTATTCTTTCGTGTTCTGTTTTATGTTAATATAAGAACATATAAAAGTGTTGTCGATTACAACGTAAATATGGGTGATTCTTGCTTTGATGAAAGCAGTTTTTTTTATTCAACTGGCAGGGAAATGCTCAACACTTTTCATCCTTGCAAGTTGTGCAATACATACCTGAGTTTTATGCTCACACACACACACACACACACACACACACACACACACACACACACACACACACACACACACACACACACACACACACACACACACACGACGGTTGAGAGACGGGACCAAAGAGCCAGAGCTCAACCCCCGCAAGCACAACTAGGTGAGAACTAGGTGAGTACACACACACACACACACATACACACACACACATGATAGAGCCCAATAGGCTCAGGAATCTGTACACCAGTTGATTGACGGTTGAGAGGCGGGACCAAAGAGCCAGAGCTCAACCCCCGCAAGCACAATTAGGTGAGTACAATTAGGTGAGTACACACACACACACACACACACACACACACACACACACACACACACACACACACACACACACACACGACGGTTGAGAGACGGGACCAAAGAGCCAGAGCTCAACCCCCGCAAGCACAACTAGGTGAGAACTAGGTGAGTACACACACACACACACACACACACACACACACACACACACACAGAAGCACTGCTGCAAGAGTTATTAACAAGGAACGGGTTTCGTGTTAGATAAACTTAAAATACCTCAAGAATCATTTCTAACAGTTTTGATCCTGTTGACTCTCAGTGTTAGTCATAAATGTTGCAAACAAGTTACGATGTTGTTCTTAACATGATGTTCATCTTTGCAAGTACACACGTCTCTGAACACCTCTTTACTGTAATGAACATGAACAACTCTCAGTTTCGTTCTTAACATAATTTTCACATCTGAATTCGATTCTCATGGTTGCTGTAGCCGAGTCCTTAGATGCTAACGTTGATGTAGTGTCTGCGTGCCATTGGAAGAGATGTGCAAGTGTCAGGATTAGCAGCAATACCGGGCAATTATGTGTCATGTCTCCTTTGACATGAGGAGGGAGGAGGTTTTCCTTATCATGGAAATCCATACACAATCAGGCCCGCGATAGCAAATGAGTTTAACACGTGAGCTGAGATGTAGCGTGGACTGACCCTGAAGAGGTAAGTCTCCCAGCGGCCGTCCCAGGAGAGCAGCAGCAGCAGCAGCAGCAGCAGCAGCAGCAGCAGCAGCAGCAGCAGCAGCAGCAGCAGCAGCAGCAGGTGGTGCATAGATCAGGCCCCTCAAGGAAATATACCCTAGATATATCACAACATTATCCAGCCAGCTTCCTGGCCTCCGCCCCTATCTCCCAGTACAGTTGATATTTGTACACATAACAAGTCTGAGTTCTGTTGGGAATATATAAGCCTAGCTTAGGTATACCTGCTGAAGGATATATTGCACAATACGTATCTGTGGTGGGAAAAGAGTACCGGGGAGTACTTGTGGGTACTGGTGGGTACTGGGGGGATGGGGCGTGATTGGTCAAGACTTCGTGCAGACTCCGTGTGTCAGGTTAGGTGAGTGAGTGTGTAAGCCAGTGCACGATATCTCTCTCTCTCCCTCCCTCGCTATCCTCCCATTCAACTCTGATGCATTTGCATGCATCTGTCATTGTATTAATTTTTTTGCTTAGCTTCAAATCTAGAACGACACCAAGAACATTTGCGGAAAAAAAACCCTCAGCAACCCTGAAAGACGAAACAATGGCATATATATACTCTTGAAAATATCAAGGCAAGCGTGGCATCTGGCGGTGTCTGGCAGCCAGCCGGGTCTTCGGTAACGCCGCCTATATATAAGAAAGGCAACGTCTTTTTCCCAGTCAGTCCATTCCTTTCACACTTTGGGTTGCATAGTGGCAGTCGTGGTGGAGGCTTAAGACCCAGATCAGTCTCCAAGATGAGGGACTCTGGCCGCTGTGGGCTGTTAATATTGCTAGGTGAGGCACTCCTCTCTCCTTAGAGGGCGTCTGGACGTCACCTCAGGATTACTTCAGTGTGTGCACTTGAGTGAATGACCCGTGACGTCTCTGAAGTGTCGAGTGATGATATAACTACAGTGATATAACTAGCATATTTCACCCCTTACATTCTAATATGCTTCCTACACCATTCAAATATATATTTTTCAGAAATATATATATATATATATATATATATATATATATATATATATATATATATATATATATGTCGTACCTAGTAGCCAGAACGCACTTCTCAGCCTACTATGCAAGGCCCAATTAGCCTAATAAGCCAAGTTTTCATGAATTATTTGTTTTTCGACTACCTAACCTACCTAACCTGACCTAACCTAACTTTTTCTGCTACCTAACCGAACCTAACCTATAAAGATAGGTTAGGTTAGGTTAGGTAGGGATGGTTAGGTTCGGTCATATATCTACATTAATTTTAACTCTAATAAAAAAAAATTGACCTCATACATAATGAAATGGGTAGCTTTATCATTTCATAAGAAAAAAATTAGAGAAAATATATTATTTCAGGAAAACTTGGCTTATTAGGCAAATCGGGCCTTGCATAGTAGGCTGAGAAGTGTGTTCTGGCTATTAGGTACGACATATATATATATATAGTATAAATATATATATTGTATATATGCATATGTGATATACAGATATACAGATATATGATATATATACATATATCTGTATATAATTCAGCCATCCTGTTGAAATGACATTAACTTACCGTAAACACTTACTGCGCTGGGAAGTGCCAAGATGTTCTGATGAACCACCAAAAGTAGACGTTTTGTATTGTTGAATGTGTCCAAATTGGGGAACTTTTCTAACCTCAACATTAATATAGAACCGCCCCTGACCTGTCCTAGGAACCGCCCCTGACCTGTCCTAGGAACCCGCCCCTGACCTGTCCTAGGAACCGCCCCTGACCTGTCCTAGGAACCGCCCCTGACCTGTCCTAGGAACCGCCCCTGACCTGTCCTAGGAACCCGCCCCTGACCTGTCCTAGGAACCGCCCCTGACCTGTCCTAGGAACCCGCCCCTGACCTGTCCTAGGAACCGCCCCTGACCTGTCCTAGGAACCGCCCCTGACCTGTCCTAGGAACCCCCCCTAACCTGTCCTAGGAGACTTAGACCTAGTACAGGCTGTATTAGGCCGAATGGTGTACATTAATGTGTTATACAACGCCTGTGAATGTTTTAAGTTTTTTTTTTTTAGCTTTATCTTCCCACGGGCTATAAAATTAAAAAGTACAGAACGTGTACTTTTGTATTTCAAAGTACAAAACGTGAACTTTCTGGTGGTTCATCACTACATATTTGGTACTTTCCAATACATGCTGCTACTAATGCTGTCATTTCATGAGGATGGGTGGAATTATATATATATATATATATATATATATATATATATATATATATATATATATATATATAGTATATATATGTATATATATATATATGTATATATATATATATGTATATATATATATATGTATATATATATATATATATATATATATATATATATATATATATATATATATATATATATATATATATATATATATATATGCTGACGTATCAGTGGCCAAGAGAGAGGCGCTTACCTATCATTTGCTCTATTGCAATCACTCTGCGCAGGAAGAGCGCGCTCAATTTCCTCTCTAATCCTCTCATCAATTGTAATAATTGATGAGAATGTAGGAAGCCACCCCCCCCCCCGCGGTGGTGGAAGTCACCCATCCAGTTACTTACCTAAACCTGAATGACCTTTGGAAGTGCTCATCATCCAGTGTGTAATGATGTAGATGTTGGCGTATACTGTGGGAATGTGTTTTCTCTCTCTCTCTCTCTCTCTCTCTCTCTCTCTCTCTCTCTCTCTCTCTCTCTCTCTCTCTCTCTCTCTCTCTCTCTCTCTCTCTCTCTCTCTCTCACACACACACACACACACACACACACGTTCCTTATCTGTCTGTATATACGAGTACTTCTTGTTCCCTCGGTACTCGTGGAGTACTGTACATAAATGCATCCGCCCTCCCTCCCTTCCTCTGTTGTTTGGGTTAATTCACGTATAGTACTTCCGCTCCGGTGAGACGCTTGGCATCAGGACAGGTACTGACGCAACGTTATCATTAGTTCCCTCCTTCCTCTCTCTCTCTCTCTCTCTCTCTCTCTCTCTCTCTCTCTCTCTCTCTCTCTCTCTCTCTCTCTCTCTCTCTCTCTCTCTCTCTCTCTCTCCTTCCCTCTTCCACACACTCTTTTCAATCTCTCCTCTCGAATAATTCATCGCATTTTGACGTGAAAGTCCCGAATGGACAAAATATGATGTACTATAAGTCATTGCGGCCTACAGACATTCCCGTTTTCTGTGCGTGGGATTTGTTAGGTTAGGTTTGGGTAGTTTAGTTCATTATTGTTTCTGTTATGACAACTCGAGGGGACTGACTGCTCGTTTCCCCTCATGCTCACTCTCCTCTTCATCCCCCCCCCCCGTCCCCTTGGTCGGCGTTCAATCCCCGACCGTCCACAAGTGGTTGGGGCACCATTCCTTCCCCCCGTCCCATCCCAAATCCTTATCCTGGTCCCTTCCCAGGCTTATACGGTCGTAATGGCTTGGCGCTTTCCCCCTGATAGTTCCATCCCCTCCCTTCCTCTTCCTTCTCCTTCCCTTCTCATTTGTCCTCTCCCTCCCCTCTCTTCCTCCCCTTGCTACCACCTGTGCCCCCTATCCTATCAATATCTCCTATTCCCTCCTCCATCTTGCATGCTGCTGCTGTACCATCTTCACCTCTCCCCCCCTCCGTCTTGGAGACAAAAAACCCACCCACTCCAAGGCGAAGTCGACTACACTTTCGCCAGCGTGGCCTCCAAAGTACCGTGTCCGCTCACCCGTGGCGGCCGTTCTTCCGTTCATAGCCATCTGTCTTCAAGATGCCGCGGGTGTAGAGTAGGGGGTAGGCAGAGTGCTCGTCTACACTGCTGGCGTAACTCTGCCACTGAGATCTGGCTCTTAGGCACGCGGGTTCCGGTGGTGTTAGCAACGGTTCTTTTGCGTGCGAGTGTGTAATTGATGCGAGGATTGGAAGTGGCGGAGGTTGCTATAGGTGATTCAGGGAGAAAGCGACGGGTATTTGGGAGAACGATGATATCTTAGTCTATCTAGCGCCTCCAGGCAGTGGTCGTTGGTCTTGCGTGAGGTCTTAGCTATGGTCTTGCGTGAGGTATGAACTATGGTCTTGCGTGAGGTACGAACTATGGTCTTGCGTGAGGTCTTAGCTATGGTCTTGCGTGAGGTACGAACTATGGTCTTGCGTGAGGTCTTAGCTATGGTCTTGCGTGAGGTACGAACTATGGTCTTGCGTGAGGTCTTAGCTATGGTCTTGCGTGAGGTACGAACTATGGTCTTGCGTGAGGTCTTAGCTATGGTCTTGCGTGAGGTCTTAGCTATGGTCTTGCGTGAGGTCTTAGCTATGGTCTTGCGTGAGGTCTTAGCTATGGTCTTGCGTGAGGTCTTAGCTATGGTCTTGCGTGAGGTCTTAGCTATGGTCTTGCGTGAGGTCTTAGCTATGGTCTTGCGTGAGGTAAGAACACAATCACTGTAATAGTCTTGCATGTAACTTTGAGACGCTTCAACACTAATATTGCTATAGACTCGCTGGTGTCAGGATGTGTGCTCTCTCCTAAGGATGCTCTCGTCTCCCCCTGGCTAATATAGAGGTGGTGGCTGTGGTCCTAGCCGGCCGGGATACTATCCAGGACCTCTCTGACGAAGGCTTGGACACGTCCCCCGCTTACGAGACTTCGGGAGGCGGCGTGGCGAAGGACGCCCTCGACGATGTGGTGGTAGAGGGCGCCATCAGACTCACCAGGTCTCGTCTCCCCCGGGCGCTGCTGGGGGGAGGCACCGTGGCCGGAGGCACCCCAGGGCACGACTTCCCCGTCCTCAACTCCGTCCCAGTTACCGTCTTCAACTGTCGCGATAGACAGCATGGCTACTACGCCGATGTCGACACCGCCTGTCAGGTCAGTGCTTGGGGACGTAAATATACCAGTGTGTGTGCGTGCGCTAATTTTTTTCTAGGGTTGAGTGTTAACTGTTGGGCTCCGGCTTACTAGCTGCAGATTGGCTCATGTAAACGCCCCTTCTGTTTCCTCCTAATATCTTCTTTTTAAAACGACTTAGTAAATTTAATTTTACAATCCTAACTAGTTCATTTCATTTGCTAACTCTTACTTATGACAAAAAAAAAGGTTCTTCTAGCATCTCTGTGACTCGTCTGCACCTTAAATGTCTATCCTCGTTGCCCTGTTCTTCACTATCTTACACTGAATTTTTCCTCTTTACCAGCTTGATCGATATCCCCTGAGAATCCTGTATGTCGTGATCATGGCTGTACGATCCCTACTCTCAGGTGTGGTGAGGTTCAGTTCCCTTAGCCTTTCGTCGCAGTTCACCCATCAGTGCTTTCTTCTAGAGGTTTTTTCTAGTTTGCTTTTGAGTTTTTTTTGAGGCGAGGAGTTCCTGGCCTGGGCGGTGTACTCCAGGATGGACCTCGTGTACCGTACTTTGATGGTCCTCTTCCTTAGGTTCTGAAGTGCTTTATCTTTACCAGTGTTATGTGTGCTAAATTTTTATCTTATTTCTGTGTGTTTGTGATGCTGGAGGCTGCTGGTTATACGATCTTCCAGGTCCTTTACTACTTCCGTTTTACAGACGCCTCTCCTTTTCATTTCATAATTTTCAGTGGTATTTCTCGGCAATTCTCATGACCTTACATTTATCTGGGTTGAAGTCTAGTAGCCATTACTTCAGGCATTCCTGAAGTTTATCCTGGTCGTTGCAATAGTTGTTTGATATGACTGACTTGAATAAAATTGATGTATTTATGTATACATTATCATATATGTATATATTTATGTATACATTAGTATAATTGTACTAATAATTGTATAATTGTACTCCACTTATGACCTCTCACCACTCTGAGGTCTCTCCTCTCACCAGAACCCTGTTTTATATTAGATTTTAGTTTCTAACTCAATTTAACACAATCCCAACCACCTGATCGATTCCCAAGTTTGTGTAGCAATGTCTCGCGTGGAACATTATCAGATGTCTTCTGACAGTCCTGGAAGACGGTGTCTCCTTAGCCTTCACTTTCCTGTATTGTCGTTGTCGCCTTACCATTCAATTCCGGTAGATTCGTTAAACAGAATTGATCTTTTCTGTAGCCACGGTGATGGTGACAGAGTTTACGCTCTACAGATGATTCTCTACTGTCTTCCTGTTGATTCTGTCAAGGGTATTAATGTAAATGTATGCGAACGACATTCATTCTGTAGGTAATGCTCTTAAGCCTGTTCCCCTTTTTTCAATAAAGGCATCACGATGGCTATCGTCCATTCCAGTGGAATTTTTTCTCTGTGTGTACTGGAGTATTGTAGATTACTGCCAGTGGTGTGATCAGTACTTCGACACCTGCCTTTACTATCATTGGGGGAAATGAAGACTTTATCTTTTGTTTAATCCAGTACTCTCTAATTGCTTTCTCACTTCCCCTGCTGACATATCGGAGGGTAAGACTTCTGCCAGTCAGGGTAAGACTGGTGCCAGTCAGGGTAAGACTGGTGCCAGTCAGGGTAAGACTGGTGCCAGTCAGGGTAAGACTGGTGCCAGTCAGGGTAAGACTGGTGCCAGTCAGGGTAAGACTGGCGCCAGTCAGGGTAAGACTGGCGCCAGTCAGGGTAAGACTGGCGCCAGTCAGGGTAAGACTGGTGCCAGTCAGGGTAAGACTGGCGCCAGTCAGGGTAAGACTGGCGCCAGTCAGGGTAAGACTGGTGCCAGTCAGGGTAAGACTGGTGCCAGTCAGGGTAAGACTGGCGCCAGTCAGGGTAAGACTGGCGCCAGTCAGGGTAAGACTGGTGCCAGTCAGGGTAAGACTGGTGCCAGTCAGGGTAAGACTGGCGCCAGTCAGGGTAAGACTGGCGCCAGTCAGGGTAAGACTGGCGCCAGTCAGGGTAAGACTGGTGCCAGTCAGGGTAAGACTGGTGCCAGTCAGGGTAAGACTGGTGCCAGTCAGGGTAAGACTGGCGCCAGTCAGGGTAAGACTTGTACCACCGGAGGACAATGTAGGGGAGATATGATCTGCCCGGTCATTAATTATGCGTCATAAATATAGGTCTAATTTCTTAAAAATGTGTCGTTTGAGCTTTATATGTTTAAATAATATGTACTGTTCAAATCTGGGTGATAATATATATTAAAGAGATAAGAGATATATTATCTTAGATAAGAGTTCTTATATTAGATAACTCTTATATTAGATAAGAGTTCAACATAATTATCATTCATACATAAAACTTAGAATGTAGAAATATAACAAGTTTTATAGATATATAGCTGTTAATGTATGATCTACTGGTCCACTATTGCATATGTAACTGATATCATCCTACAGGTGTTCCACGTGTGTCATGCAGACGGCCGCATGGACAGCTTTCTCTGTCCCAATGGAACCATCTTCCAACAGCAGCAGCTTGTATGTGACTGGTGGTACAACGTCGACTGTCAAACTTCCTCTCAACATTTCGGCGTCAACTTAGAGATCGGCAAGGTGTCCACCACGTCTCCCCATGCCTCACCAGCCTCTGGGAGCGACGGTTCCCGTGGGTCCAGCTTCGGAGGTGTCGCAAGACAAACCGCAGTAACCTCTTCCTCGGCAGGAGTTCACTCGGGGGTCACTGGAAGAAGCGGTTTCCTAGGTTCTCAAGGATCAAGTGGAGGTGCGTTTAGTGCCACGCGCGTTCCTGAAGCCGCTTTCACGCCATCAGGAGGGAGTGGGACGTCTGTTAACCATGTGGAAGCAACTGTTAGAGCAACTGCAGCACAGTCTAGTGCTTCTGGGAGGAGCCCATTTTCGTCATTCCAAACACCCACGAATGCCCCAACACCAACTCCAGCACCGACAAGAGCTCCGTCATCAACAAGAGCTCCACCTCCAAGAACACAAACTGCATTAAGAGCCCCATCGTTTACAAGAATTCCAACACCTCCAAGAGCTCCAACGCCCTCAAGAGCCCCAAAGTTTACAATAACTTCACCTACAGGAGCACCAACACCTCCAAGAACACCAACACCTCCAAGAGCTCTTACGCCTTCAAGAGCCCCGACGTTTACAAGAAATCCAACACCTATAAGCGCACCAGCACCTCCAAGAGCATCAACACCTCAAGGAACTCTAACGCCTTCAAGAGCCTCAGTAACTTCAAGAGGTCCAACAAGAGTAGCTGTGTCGCGCCGCCCTCTGCCACCACCAACCGCCAGATTTGACGCGCCTCTCCAGAGTCCCAGCAGGCCGCCTCCAGACGGTGTGAATCTCCTGATTAGTGGCATTCAGAGCACTCAGATCCCTGATAATGTTGCCGATGCCAGAGACACCGGATTTGGCGTCCCACTACCATCCTTAGGAGGAAACCAAGCCCCTCAGAACGTAGTACAAAGCACACAGCGTTTCCAAACTAGTCAGGGTGTTAGTTTGAGCAACACACGACCACAGACTGCAGCTCCAAGCCATAAATCTCAGGACGACAGTAGGAGGAGCCACAACTTTGGAATTGGTCAGCCTGCAGTGCCCATCACGAAACCTGCAGTGCCCATCACGAAACCTGCGACTACAGCAACCAGTAGCAGAGGCTCTGCTACTTTTGGTCGACGAAGTCAGCAGACTTCGGGAGTAGGACAGCCTGTTGGGGTACCTCTTCCCTTATTAAGCAACATTGCCAGTTCCAGCGGCAGTCATCAGGGATCTTCAGCTTCCAGGGCGTCTCAAAGTCATCAGGGATCTTCAGCTTCCAGGGCATCTCAAAGTCATCAGGGATCTTCAGCTTCCAGGGCATCTCAAAGTCATCAGGGATCTTCAGCTTCCAGGGCGTCTCAAAGTCATCAGGGATCTTCAGCTTCCAGGGCGTCTCAAAGTGGTAGCACCCATCTTGGAGCCCCACAAAGAATTCCTGGAGCTGTTGGCACATCTTCTCAACAAGGAACCACGCAAAGCGGATTTGGTATTCCTCTACCAAGTCTCTCTTCAGCAGGAGGCTTCCAAGGGAGCTTCGGGGTTCCACTTCCTGCCAGTGTTGGAACTTCGAGTGGAAGATTTGGCGCCACGACCACCACGACTGGAGGTACAAGGCGGCCGTCACTGGGCACTGGAGGAGCTATCATCATTGTGGAAGATGACAGAGATGACCGATTTGATTTAGATGACCGATTCGACGATGACCGATTCGATTTGGATGACCGATTCGACGATGACCGATTCGATTTGGATGACCGATTCGACGATGACCGATTCGACGATGACCGATTCGACGATGACCGATTCGACGATGACCGATTCGATAATGACAGTCGTGATTTAGACGACCGCTTCGATGATGACCGATTTGATTTGGATGACCGATTCGACGATGACCGATTCGACGATGACCGATTCGACAGGGCCAACTTCCTGAGAACTTCGAGTAACCAGGGCAAGGTGGTGCTCCTACCACCTTCAGAGATCCAGCTACCGCCTCCGACCACCAGATTCTAACGGGACACAGCTGGGGGCGCCTCCCCCCCAAAAAAAAAATCCAAAATAATAAACGAGGGAACCTTGTGGGTGTGCCCGTGTCCACCCCCCTCCACCGTGGCGTGACGATCTGGAACACCAAGCTGTTGGTGTTGGCATGATTGTCTCCTATTCGAACCTTCAGTGCCTCATTGGGGAGTGCCTATTTTTGTCCCTATGTATATTGTGATATGTGATATTAAATAAGTGAGCTGTATATTTTCTGGTAACTGATTTGCATCCGAATTCAATCAACGCTGTGATTTATGAGGCGAAAAAATGGCCTTTTCGGATTTGATATGACACTTATTTCTGGCTTTGTGGTTGCCAAGTCAAATAAAATAAGTATCTGAAAATGCCATAGGCCTAAACGCAAACGTTCACACAAACACACATGTGCTTTGTTTTACACACACACATACACACACACACATACACAGACACACACACACACACACACACACACATACACACACACACACACACATATATATATATATACACACACACACTCTGGCCTGACGATAACTAGATCACACGTTCAAGTCCAAGTGACAATCTTTGTAATATATATCTACATCTTATAGTATAATATTTTTGTATTTGTGAATTTCAATAGACTCGCATTATTTTGAAAGTGCTTTGTTATTTTTTTCTGCTGTTCTTTGCGGCAGCGGACCCTCCTTTGATAGTGTGTAGTGGAGGCTGTCGTGAAGGGGCCCCTTACAGACCACACTGTGTCGTGAGGGGGCGCCCCTACAGACCATACTGTGTCGTGAGGGGGCGCCCCTACAGACCATACTGTGTCGTGAGGGGGCGCCCCTACAGACCACACTGTGTCGTGAGGGGGGGCCCCTCAAACTTTGGGGGTGTAGCAGGTGTGGATCTTCCTATTCGTAATGCTGTACACTCTCGTGTCTGGGTGTACAGGGGGGACAGATTAGAGGGAGGGATGTTTTTTTTTTTATTTTTTATGATAATTATCTTTATGGTTTGGGCGCACTCGTCATATTGGGCCTTCCTGGTGTAGAGTAGTTCCTCTCGTTGTTCACCCGTGTGTTGCTGTTCACCCCTTGTGTTGTTGTTCATCCGTGTGCTGTTGTTCACCCGTGTGTAGCTGTTCACCCCTTGTGTTGTTGTTCATCCGTGTGCTGTTGTTCACCTGTGTGTTGCTGTTCACCCCTTGTGTTGTTGTTCAGTGTGCTGTTGTTCACCCGTGTGTAGCTGTTCACCCCTTGTGTTGTTCATCCGTGTGCTGCTGTTCACCCTATGTTCATAATGTGTCTCCTGTCCTAGTGTTTACTGTGTTCACGTCATTGTTGTTTGTTTTTTGTGTCAATAAAGTAGGATTGTAAACATATTTGTTTTTTGTGTCAATAAAGTAGGATTGTAAACATATTTGTTTTTCTAACGATTTGTCTGTAAGTAGATGCTGTTCAGAGATGGTGCTATGTATTATATGTTTTCCATCGTGATGCTTGAGTATTTGGGAGGCATTGGGGGACTGAGTCAGGATTCCCTTTATGTGCACACTCACCAGCCGAACGATAAATGCTGCAGTGTGTCCTCGAGTCACAGAAAACGAAGCATGACCCATTTTCTATATTGATATTTCCATTGCCTCGAAGAGGAACCTTGTTAGGCTTATCAAGATCCCTCCAAGACACCGTCGACTGACCTGCAAGATGCACCCCTCAACAGTTGGCTGACACTTTGACCTCTTTTTGATTATTAGGGAAACAGAGAGGTATTATGTTTAAGGAAACATGGCCCAAACGTTTCCGTCCCGCGCGGAACTTGAGACCTTTCAGGTATCTTTTTTTTCTCTCAAGAGGAGACTCTGGGAGAGATTAAAGCCCCTTGCGGGTCTTTGTTGGTGTCAGTCATGAAATTAACGTGAGATTTGCTAGAATGTTTTATGTATCGTTTATCCGCTCTGTGATTGACTACAATGCTCTACATCTCACACTGTATACAGATAAAGAGCTAAAATCTCTTGAAACCTTGCAAAATGAAGCTATGCGTTTCATCCTTGGGACTCCAAAAGTCCACGAGAATAGTTAATATGAGAGCAGAGTTAAAATTGCCTGCCATGAGTGAGAGAATTTTGTTCATTTGTACAGTTTTCGGCGTGAAGGTATTGAGTAGATCTAGATAACACATGAAGTTTCAAGCTAAACTTTCTAATATCCTACACTCCCCTGAGGTCTATAGAAGAAGAACGAAATCTGATTATGCACTTTGGTTCTACAAAGTAGCCAACTCCATCAAAATATTAAATATGTACCCAACTCAATTAATGATTAATCAACCAATTACTCCATGGGATAATTGGGATCTATCAGTTGATTTTGTAATTGCACCTAAGATAGTGTACACTCTACATTATTAAATCAGTTAATACTGTACAGCATCGCTGAGAGTACTCAGGGTATGGGTAACGATGTGTATCAGTGCTATACCGACGGCTCTGTAGAAGGAGGTGGACGATGTACCGGATGTGCATGTAATATATTTGAACAATCTTCTCTCGTACATACAGCAATGAAGCGCGTCAATGACTGGGCAAGTACAACTCAAAACCTAACTTGCAGGAATATACCTTGCCACTGAATTGTTAAAAGACAAAGGCAGTGGACTTATATACTGTGACTCGCAGAGTGCACTCCTGGCATTGAACGACATAGTAGTAACACCTAGAAAATAGTCAGTGATATTCGAATGAATGTTTTTGCTGCTAAAGAAAACAGTTTTGAGATTAAATTCCTATGGATACCATCACTTTGTTGGCATCTCAAGGCATGACACTGTTGATATGCTTGCTAAGACAGCCTGCAGAAAACCAGTGGTAGAAATTGATATGGGTGTTTCATTAGCAGTGACAAAGAGAATACTTACACACAGGTATTTGTTTGTGTGTGTGTGTGTGTGTGTGTGTGTGTGTGTGTGTGTGTGTGTGTGTAAGAGGTGATCAATCAGTGTTTTATGTATTTCACTTCCTCACTTCGTGAGCTTTCGATTTCTCCTCACATCAATTGTCTCCTTAAGTTTCATTCCGTTCAGCTTTCTCCTTAGTTATGCTTCTCATTCATCTGGTTATGATACTTTCATGTCTTTCACCCGGGCTCTGGCAGACTCGAACCCTGGGCCCTCCACGCGTGTTGAGGCTATATCGACCGAGCTGTTGAGTTGTCTTAATACTGAGGGGGTCTGGAGTTCGAGTCTCCTAGAACCCAGGTGAATGGGATGTATATTTCCAGGGAAGTGTGGATGACACTTGACTTTTATGTCTATAAATATATAACCAAATAAATTTATTTATATAAATTTATATAACCCAAAGCGTTATAGGACAAAGAGTACTGGGAAGACGGGACACCACGAACACAATCAGGTTGTTTAGAACTATAAGAAGTTTGGATTGTGAAGTTTCGACACTCAAACTCTCTTTTTTTTTTAAATGTCAACAAAGCCGCCATGATTGAGGAAAGATGTACAGGTTTCGTAAAGGGGGGGTTGTGAAAATGGTTTATGAGTTCCCCTGTCGAGAAGGGCGACGGATACATGAGGCTTGACACACGAGGCCACGCCCACCACGAGGAGTGATCCGGACTCTCTTCTCTTGTGAGAGCCTCTCTGTGGTCGTGGGTTCGATCCCAGGCGCCGGCGAGAAACAATGGGCAGAGTTTCTTTCACCCTATGCCCCTGTTACCTAGCAGTAAAAATAGGTACCTGGGTGTTAGTCAGCTGTCACGGGCTGCTTCCTGGGGGTGGAGGCCTGGTCGAGGACCGGGCCGCGGGGACACTAAAAAGCCCCGAAATCATCTCAAGATAACCTCAAAATAACTGACCTTGTGTACAGGGCACTCACCGTGTGTGTCCCCCAGAACATCCCCCCCCCCATGGTAGAAGATGTCACCGTTATCTTCTTCGTTATCACCGCCGGTACAAGATGTCACTGGACATCTCCCCGCTTGACGTCATTGATCACCTGCTGGCAGAGTTCCCACGGTGGTGACGTCACGGATCAGCTGGCCAGGTAAACAGTGGTGTGTGAACCATGGTCAGTGAGTCCCTCCTCTCTCCTGTGTCTTCCTTCCCCTCCTTCCTCTCCTCCCTCTCCTCCTTCCTTCATCCTTCCTTCTCCTTCTTCATCCTCCCTCCTTCCTTCTCCTTCCTCCCTTCCTCTTTACTTCCCCTCCTCCTTCTCCTCTTCTACGGCAACACAATATATTTGAGTGTTAGTGTTGTGTAGACGTGTAGAAGTCTTGTTACCGACACGACTGCTGTTCGAGGGGCTTCTGTTTAACGTGACTGTAGTTATTTGTAAGTTTGTGTAGTGTGTGTGTGTGTGTGTGGGGGGGGGGGGGGCGGAGTGTAAACACTTGAACATTCACGCTGACATTTCTGTTATCATTTCGCCTCTCTTATGTTTTTGTTTCTCCTCTCACTCTCGACCTGTCTTTGTCAACACTGTCTCTCTGTTCATGTTGTGCTTGGTTGTAACCGCTGCTCCTGTACGGGGATTGTCTTTAAAGCTGTGTCTGCTCCAGGAGAAACTGTGGCGTGCGTGCGTGTGTGTGTGTGTGTGTGTGTGTGTGTGTGTGTGTGTGTGTGTGTGTGTGTGTGTACGTGTGTATGTGTGTTCGTGTGTCCGTGTGTGTGTGTGTGTGTGTGTGTGTGTGTGTGTGTGTGTGTGTGTGTGTACGTGTGTGTGTGTGTGTGTGTGTGTGTGTGTGTGTACGTGTGTGTGTGTGTGTGTACGTGTGTGTGTGTACGTGTGTGTGTGTGTACGTGTGTGTGTGTGTGTACGTGTGTGTGTGTGTGGTGTGTGTGTACGTGTGTGTGTGTGTGTATGTGTACGTGTGGGTGTGTGTGTGTGTACGTGTGTGTGTGTGGGGGGGGCGGGGGGGAGACGAATGATCTTAGAGGGAACTCTTGGTGTCAACTATAAGGGACTCGTAACAATTGTTTCGTGGCGAGGAGCGTCTTGGTTGCTCATATCACTCGCGTCTCCTTTCACTGGCCTCCTTGGCTGCTCTTTGACCTGCCTTGTGTGCTGGCCATCTTCCTCACGCTGGGTTACGTTAGTCGAGGTCACCTCAGGTCACAGGTCATGGTCACCCTTGATAAGGTTCTGGTGGCCCCTTGTAGTGTTGACTCCTCTCCCCCTCCATCATCTCTCTCTCTCTCTCTCTCTCTCTCTCTCTCTCTCTCTCTCTCTCTCTGTATATATAATATATGCATCAGACAAGACCAGTCCTGTACGATCCATTACAATGGTGTTCTGTGCAGCATCTGGGGGGGGGGATGCTGGGGTTGGCATCACTTCATCTCCGACCTCAGATGCGTATGTTTCTAGCGTTGAAATCTCTGCTTATTATGCCGTACAAAATATATATATATATCTATCCTCGTATCAAGATATAGTCGCAAGAGCCCTGGGTTTGTATTCTATGTTTCGCTACGTTCCCTGGTGTCGATCCCAGAAGAAGATCCCCTTTAGCGTGGTAGCTAGCGCGTTCCGTAAGGTGTATAGTTGGGTGTGACTTGTGAGGAGGGGCGCCCCCGGGGCCGCGGGAGTCACGGACGAGGTCACCTGACTGTGGCAGGAGCCGCTCGAGGGGCAGACGATAG